ACGACCAGTCGGGTCGTTACAGCACCCCTTGATCTATAGGCCAAGAACATCACTCTCGGGGACTAACACTTCGAACAAGTTTGAAGTGTTATTGGGAAACAAGCCCAAGAGGCATACCCAAAGGCTACGGCCAAATTAAGGCTGCTCGGAGACGTCCAATCCCGCAATAAAAATAGACCTTCGAATGCTTTGAAAAACGGGTTTTAAAAGGCTACCCTCGGCAAGTAATCAAAAGGGTTTCGATGAAATCAGCCCTAGAAAAACCTTAAGAGGTATCAAATTTTATTAACACAAACGTGCTAAGGCACAAAAGGCAAATGGGTTTCAATCGACATCAAACCCTCAAAAAACCAATGGGTAAAGAATACGTGTTAAGGCATAAAGAAATGTTTTACTAAGTCTTCTAAGCCGAAAAAGGGGGAAAATAGCCATCTTTTAGAGGCCATATCGGCCCAATCTAAAGAGCCTAAGGGCCAATACACTTAGAGTTTGAGATTTTGTTCTCACTCAATTCGGACCTAAGGGTTCCCCCATTCCGAGCTCAAAAAAAACTGACTTGAATATAGCTCGAGGATTCATCATTATTTGATATAAAACCTTAAGGGGTCTGTTACTGTGAGTTCGAAACTTACTTGAACTTGGCTATAAAAACAGTACGATTACGGCTTCGATCAAGCCATCCAAAATCAAAATCCCGAACATATTGTTGAGCTCGGGGACTCGCTCTCGCTTGACTAAAAAACCTAAGGGTTTGTTCTACTCTGAGTTTGAGCTATTCCTCACTCGATTATAGAAACTACAACAACCCGATTGCAACAAAGTTTTCACAAGGCAAAGGCAAAACAGAATTTATCATAAATCAGAAATCGGAGACAAAACGAAAAGAAAAGGACTCTTTCATATATGCAAAGTATTTACAAAGACCACACAGGGTCTTACACAAATTATTTCCTAAGTGCCTAGTCCGCCTCGGGAGCCGCATCTTTGGGAGCTTCATCTTAATCTCCTCCGTTCTCGGATCCACTCGCAGAGTCTTCATCATCGGAAAGCAAAGCTCCGGCCTCGTCCTCCAAAACCTTTGCACTCTCGATATCGGCCGTGAGGTCGAAGCCACGAGCATGTACCTCCTCAAGAGTCTCTCTCCGAGACTAATGCCTAGCATGCTCGGCAACACGGGACAATCTAACCTCAGCAGCATCTGAAATTTCCTTTGCCCGAGTGTTAGCGGCTTCAGCGTCAGCTCGGTAGGAGGCCACAACCGCCTCTGCCTCAGATGTGGCCCTTGCAAGCTCATCAGCCAACTGAGGCTCGAGTTTTTCAACCTTCTGGGCTCGGGCCAAGTTCCCCTCCTTCACACTTTGGAGTTGATGCTCAACCGAAGATAGTTGAGCCCGAACCGCATCTTCCTCTGAGGCGAGACGGTCCATGTTCTACATCCACCCCAAAGTCTCTGCCTCTTTCATCTTGGCCTCCTCACGAAGCTGCTCAACCAATTTGGCCTTCTGCTGAACCTGCAGAATCAAAGTGTTAGTCACCAATATCAAGTTAATACATAACAAGCTCCCAAAAATTTACATTACCTGTTTAATGAGATCGGTCTGATCTTGATGAGCTCTTGTCAGCTCGACTCGAATACTCATGATCTCCTCTTCTTTTTACACATAGAGGAGTTTGATGGCGTCTCTCTCCTCCATAAACTTTTTGAGATCAGCCTTACATCGGGCCAGCTCAGCTCGGTATTTGGAGGACACTTCTCGATGGAGCGTCGTAGCCTGTGCAGAAAGAAAGGAAATCAGACTTAGAGAAATAAGAATAAACGCAAGCATGGCAACATCATCGACCACAAGTAAAACTCACTAGGATTAGAAGCCGCTGAGCCTTATCAAAAATGAGTGATGCGTCCAGGTCGGAAACATCATCGATCCCCGCAAAGCAACCGCGAAATATATCATCCCCTTCGGGGGTCATCCCCACATCGGGTGTTCCCATGGACCGGACATCCCAAAACTGCCCCTCAGAGAACGTGGGGCTAGGCGGTGAATCATCAATGTTAATTGCCCCAAGTGAATCACTTGGGGCATTCTATTCTCTTTGAAGGGCCTCAGAACTAGACCCTTCGAGCACACTCGCCGGTTGCTCATCACAGCAGGAGGCATCCTCAACACCCGATGACTCGGGGACTTTGCTCGGACCTTCTTTCAAGATCACCTTGGTCTGCGGCTGAACCTCCTCGACCGTCACCGGCTCAGCAGTTCTCGAAACTTCGATGCCCTCCCTCTTCCAAGCCACCAGTAGGCAGTCGACATCTTCTCCCTCCTCGTCTTCATCTTGTAGCGTTTGGACTACATTGGCAGGCAAAACGACGAGATTAGTCTTCGACTTTCGAGCCCTACTTTTCTTGGGATTTGGGGTATTTGGTGGTGAGGCCCTTCTCCTTTTCTTGTCTTTGGTCAACTTCGGGACCTCCTCTTCCCCGAGGGGAGGCGGCCTCATAACGACATTATCTCCAAGACCTGTATGAGAAGAAATCAAGTTAAAAGCAAGTATTTCACAAGAAAGCATAAAACACGGACATGGGAACTTACCATGATTTTTGGCCTCCCATCGACCCTTGACCAAATCACGCCACGAGCGCTCAGCATACTAAGAGGTTGAAACTAGTTGTCGAACCCAACCTCCAAGGTATGGGACTGCACCAGGAAACGAGGGGGAAGCTGCACCATAAAGAAGAATATAGATGAGAAGAGTTAAAGGAAACATAACAAGTAATCTAACGTTATCGGTGAAGTTCTATTTACGCTTCATGTTCCATTCTTCGGGGAATGGCATCTTCTCGGCGGGGATGAAATCGGAGGTACTGACTCGGACAAACAGGCACATCCATCCTTCGTCCTTGTCCTCGTCTATGCTCGAGAATAGCACCTTCGTGGCCTGGCGCTGAAGCCTTATCAGTCCGCCATGATAAAGACGGGGGTTGTATAGCCTAATGAGATGAACGAGGGTGAAAGACATCCCCTCGATCTTGCTTGAGAAGAATCAGAGCAAAATGACAATGCGCCAAAAAGAGGGGTAGATCTGGCCTAGAGTTACTCGGTATTGGTGGCAGAAGTCGATTATGACGGGTATCAAACAGATATATCTAGACATGGGCTCGCGTCGGCCAGGAACCAAAGAGGGTTTTTTGAATTTAAAGTCGGAAGTAAGTTTACATGGCCCGAGGATGCACTCTTCGATACGTGGCTCCACCGATGTTTTGTCACCGGCCGGCCACGATGAGGAGGCATTTTCTTCTTGAGGAACGGTCTTTGATGTTTTTGCCATGGCTATATGAGGTTTAAGGAAGGAAAAGGCGGAATTTGCGTTTTAATAAGAGATTGGCAAACGAAAACCGACAAAGTTGATGGACTTGAAGAGAATAGAAGAGCCTTTGAAGATTAGAAGAAGTTTGAAAGTAAAGTTTGAAAAGATTATGAATGTGGTCTATTTATAATAGCCACTTTGACGGTTTGAAAGCACTGGTGGCCGACCATCAACTGGCGTTAATTAATGACCTTGGGAACTGCGTAGACACGACGCTTCAATCGCTTCTGTCGCTTACGTCATGATGTTGACGTCATAATTGATCGAGGTATTAAATCGAAGTCTCAAATTCGTTTCTTCTCGTTACACTCCAAAAAATAAAGGGACTATCTGTATACGGTCGAAATCGGGCGTACCCGATTTCGTTGGCAGGGGAGTTGCCTCGAGGGTAACCTCATAATAGATCGGGCTCGAGCTTGAAGATAGAATATCACGCCTGAGAGATCGAAGTGTTCATTGTGATCGAGGCCGGCACCAATCAAGATCAAACATGACTGACTTTGAGTAAGGAAATAACGGAATGACGAGATATATGTAACCGGTCGAAGATCCCGGCGGGAATCCCAGAACAGATCAAATCAAAGCGGTTATTAGTGACAATCATGGGATCTACTTCCGTTATAAGAGTTGTACCTTATTTAGGATTCCTCTATTATATAAAGAGGGATCCCATTCACTTGGGGAAAAAAATGATTATTCACTAATAAGAATATACATATACGCTGCTTTCTTTGTTTTACTTATTGTTCATCGTTGTTTGATCCATCCTCCACTGTTCTTATTAACTAAACTCGAGACTATCTCGAATCGAGGTCGAGGTATTATTTGCGGACCGGTTTGATTTATTTTATTGTCCAATTTATCTATTTAATTCATTGTTTATCAATTGATGCTGGTTCAAATCATATATCCTTAAAACACAATATAAGTTTAATTGTTATTCAATTTTTAGGGTAAACAAATGCAAACAGTAATATAGTTCTTGTCAAATTTGACTGAACAAAAGAAGTCATCGAGTCCTTAAACACAAGTTCGAGCTGGACTGAAGACTCTTTACTTTTTCTTCTTCTCATTAACATTCTCCTAATTAAAACCAGAACTTTGTACGATAGAAATAGTCTTATCAAACTTTTGAGCGCAAAACACAGCCGTAGAGTTCGTTAAAACTAGGGGATAGGTCCCGTTAATTGAGTAATCTGGTAAAGATGTCAATGTAATTGAAAAATATTTATTAATTTAATGTTTTTGCACGATAGTTTTGTAACTGCTGAAGACTATATATCATTTTAACCATTTAAGGAAGGTAACGGGCAAAAACAAACGCATATGTGTGAGAGATTGTGCACATCTTCAACCCTTTGATCTTATAGGAGGATTCGGAATTTTAAGCAGATGGGTTCCTACGACAAACTGTTAATATACAATAATATTTAGATTTACAGTCAAATATTTATAGACATTTAATAAATTTCTTAGTATTATATATATAAGGTTTGGTTAAAAACTAGTATTAGATTCACGTACTTGTGGATCTCTCCCTATGGATCCTAGAAGTGTTTCCAAATATTTATTCATGCGAGTAAACATGACTATCCTTTTTCTTAGTTGTCGAATTTGCAAGCCCTTATGTGTGTAAACAATTGAGCAATGCTAGCCATTTATTCTATGTTACTGAGAAAAGCCATAAAATATGTATGCAATTATGCCAATCGAAATATATCCCATTAATTGTCTCAACAACTATGAGCAGCGCATTACAGGAAGGCCGATAAACAATTCAGTCTCCACCTCCGAATTCTGGGTATTTTTGCTACAATTTCCCCTTTCTTTCAGTTGAGTTGGTGGTGTAAGTGGCATTAGTGCTGGTGCTGCTGGCGCTGATGGTGTTGGCATTAGGCGGCACTGGGTTGATAAATGATTTTTCAAATGTGCAAATGAGAATATAAACCAAATATTAGTGTAACTGTTTAAATCAATAAAATACAGTTCAACTAGCCTATAAGCTAAGAAATACATGATTAATTAGTATAATGATGCCCTAATGTTATAATCTGACTACATTTCATAACTTACGCGTAGTTAGAAATATTAATTACTAAGGCCCAAAGCACCAGTAGATATTGAGAAAATGTATAGAAATGGAAATGAGTATAAACCACTAAGCAGTCACGATAATACTCAACGCTTTACATGCACAAACACTTGCATTAACCTATGTATGCTTATATACTTGTATAACTGCACAGATGTGATTTCAGAAAAGCAATGTACAATAAATCCTAGTATGATTTAGTCAAACGGGATTTGATACTATAACTTCTTTTCGCCAAAATAAAGAATAATCAAGATAGGATGGCCTCTAACACAAAGCAAATTTTGGAATATCAATTTTTTACCGCAATGATTAGCCATAATAGCAAACTTAACTCTTTCCATATGGGATTGCATGCAATTGAACTACAATTTCAGACAATACCATGACTCCTTTTGCTAATTGGATTAGAATAAATCCCTATAGATTCAGTTTGCATGTTTAATAAGTCGCAGAGTTAGGATTTTACTTTTTAACTATAAAGAAGTAAACACATGAAAAAGTCAAGGAGATTCAGCATATGGCATATATCGTTATGCCATATGTCTGACGAATCGACTCCCGTTGGACATGAGTGGCACCGCCGCTGTGTCCGATGATCATGCATTTTCTTTAACTAATAGTCTAGGGGATAAAGCGAAAATCAGAGAGTTCACCTTTTCACGTAAATTTGCATTTTCTTCTTGCAATAGACACTCCTGAACAAGACGAAAAAATACACAAACAGTCAGAAAAGAATGAATTTACCAAAGAAGTAAAAGCCCTAAAATGCATAAACTGTTCATCATACCCTGGCTTTTAGGCTTTCTATTTCGTCCTTAAATAATTGAGCCTAGAAAATGACCAAAGACGGAACAGGTTAATGATTACTGCGAAAACACCTAAATATTGGATAAAATGGTCTGATATTGCAAACAAGAAATAAGGAAGAAAAGGTAATCAAAGTGCATTTTGCAGAAGATTAATTGATACTACCTTTCTGGCCCTGATGTTTTCCAGGCTCCTCTCGAGCTTGCTGTCAATCTCTTGTAGTTCATCCATTGAACATGACCCTAAACCTTGTCCCATCAGCTTCCTAATTAAGGCATTTGATAAATTCAACATTAATTTAAGTAAATACTCCAAGTAGTTTGAGAGAAGCAGATTGAAGAATAAGCGGAGAGAATAACCGTTTGGAAACTTCAAGGATTTCTATCTTCTTTGCCATGTTAGCTGTCTCATGCTTCAAGTGCTGCATATGAAATCAATATATGATGAAAGAAGCCATACTTAAAAAAGAAAAAAAAAAGATGAAAGAAGCCATATTGTGACAATAAAAATATGCAAAAACTGGATTATAGATGATGCTCAATGAGATATTCTGTATAGTTTTACCCCATTGGTCATAAATTAGGTGCAAATTAACAATCTAGTAAAATGAAGAATTATGGATTGATTTTATGCTAATTATCTCCCTCATCAAATCGGTCGCTTGAATTGCTGATTCAGTAGGACTGATAGGAAACAACGAGAACATACTAGTGGGATCTTCTCAGGTTGGAAATGACAAGCTAAATTTTATTAATAGTCACAGTTACAGATTTTGGTAAGAAGGTTTCTTCATTTTGTCCACTGTAAGATCTTTTCCACAGTGCTAATTGCACAAATATTTCTGATACAGAAAGACCAATAATCCATCATCAACTGAATGTCATGGATATATTTGTTGTAGATGTAATTAAGAATTTTATAGGTACTTTATTGGATTAAGTTTGAGTTTAGTCTGCAACTTCTTTTGTATTTCTCTAGAATAATCTTATCTAGAAAGACCTCTAGACTCTCTTTTGTATTTTCTAAGTGATAAATTTTATCAAAAGATTGTTCTAGAATTCTCCTTTACACCTATAAATAACCTTCTTTTTACTAATGGCTATTTGCAATAAGATATATACTTCGTTACCGATAATCTTTGTTTGGTGTAGGCACTGATATTTTATTTTGTGTGCGCCGCAAACTGGATAACCTAATCGAGTTTTACTTTAGAAAACAAACAAATTGATGTTAAATGCTTTCCTGAGATTGTCGACTAAAAAAGGAAAACAAGAGAAGTATAGTTGTTTTGACAAGTCTTGTTCTATAGAAAATAGATTTGTCAGAATGATATCTTTTTATAAACAAAGTAGAAATTTTCTACATATCAGTTTAATAATGACAGTGTCATGAGCATATTAAAAGACATACGTAGGTTCCATAAATTCACTAATCTGTCTCCTTGTTATAATACACGACACAATACTACTTTCACATTCATTTTTTTGGAGGCGTTTGGATATGGCCTATGGAATTTTGACCATAATTAATTTGGTCAGAGAAGTGTAGTTGTATATAAACAAGTCTTTTTTCAAATGGCCATACTTTATTTGAAGTGCTATGGAATTTAGTTACGTAAGGAATTATGGTTAACTTGAATAAGTTTCCTTAATGACCTTTTCTTTGTGTGGACCATGAACTAATATAAACTGGCCTTAATATAACTTAATATCTCCTTAATATAGAAAATTAGTTTAGCCCTAATCCCTTGCATTGATATACTTCTACGAGTTATTGTGACATATATTGTCACATTAAATAGTTGTAGTCATTCTTATTGTTTCCTTGGTCCTATTTAAGATATGGCTAAACAGAGACACGTTCGAATTACTCCAAGTGGGAGTTCTTGAAGTCGAGAAAGGGGAAAACGTAGAAGGATACATCATCTCAGGACTTATTTCTATAATGATTCAGACCCAGAGCCTGAAGTCATCAGGAATGTCCCGAAGGGCAAGGCAAAATGAGTTAAGGGATCGGGGGGCTGAGCGAAGGGAGGGAGAAAAGAAATTTAGGGAATTTAAAAAATTTAAAATGGGCCCTGATGCTTCCATTCCTGAACATGTACACATTTTTTAGTTAAAAAGAGCTAAATTGGATAATTACATAGAAATTTCTGATTGGGAAGCATTAGTTATTTTAGCAGACTCTCTTCGAGAGCCTTGGGGTGAAATTTAAACTGAGATTTATCATGATGTTTGGTCTAATGCACCTTTTAGCGTATATGTGCAAGAGTTAGTATTCGATTGGTATATGGATGTCCTAGCAAACATGTAAAATATTATTATATATTTTATATTAATGAAATTTAAATTATGTTGTTTGTCTCACAAGTTACATATATTATTTATTATTTTATCTTGTAATGGATTGAGACTTGAAATAAAGTACACACTAAAAAGTAATTTTAATATTAATTAAAATATTTAGATATAGATGATGAATGGAAACGTAGTGACCTTTCGATTCTATACTAAATGTAGAATTAATATTATAATTAATTTGCTTGAGTGTGTAATCACATGCATAAATTGACTGCAGTATATATATTGATGAGTTAAACTTGTAATATTGCCTCTAATAACAGATATGGCATCGAAAAGTATCATTGCTGACTTGAACAAGGGTGACAAACTGAATGGTGAAAATCACGACATCTGGAGTCGTAAGATATGGTATGTACTCGAAGAACAAGATGCTCTTGAAAGTATTAACCATGTTATGAGTCACCCAGAGGAGGGTAACACTGCACAACACATGAGGAATCTAGAAACTTACACTAATTGGAAAAAGAAAGACTCCACTGCACGTGAAATTATTGTAAGTTCAGTTGCTCATGATTTCATCCACGAATGTGAGCAATATCCTACTGCTCAAGTCATGTGGGCACATTTAAGAGAGACATATGGGGTACAACTGTGACTCATCTTTGATAGCTGACAATCAAGTTTGACACGTACAAAAAACATCATGATCACAGTGTCAAGCAACATCTAAGGGTGATGTCAAATATGATTGCTCAACTCAAAAGTGTTGGTCATGTTCTCTCTGATGAGCAACAGGTCCAGGCAGTGATTCGGTCTCTTTCCAATAATTGGGAACATCTGAAGGTTAACTTGACCCACAATGATAGCATCAAAACTTTTGCTAATGTTGCCCGTCATGTGGAGCTTGAAGACGAGCAACTTGGTGCTGCTAAAGCTGTACCTAATGCCTTTGTGGCAGAATCAAGTGGTGCAAAGAGATCAAGCTTCAAAAGCAAGAGAAACTGGAAAAATGATGGAAAGGGTAAGGATACCGGAGAAAGATCCTCTAAGAAAAGAAACAAGCCAAATTTCAAGAAAGAAAAACGGTTCTACAAGAAGAAAGACAAGAGCAAGATGAAGTGCTACAATTGTCAAGTTCCAAGGCATTTTGCTCGTGAGTGCACTGAGCCGAAAAAGGTAGCATTTCAAAATACATCTCTAAGTGCTATATATGTTTCTAGCACTGTTTTACTAACTGAATCTTATCCTGTGTGGATTGTAGACTCAGGGGCCACCGACCATGTGAGTCATGATAGAGAAGTGTTTATAGAGTTTCGTCGAATTCCACCTGGATCAAGGCAAGTATATCTGGGAAATAATGCAAAGCTTGAATTCAAAGGGATAGGCTCTTGCAGAATGGATATGCGTGGTGGCTGATCTTTGATGTTGCATGACGTCCTATATGTTCCAGAGATTCGACGAAACTTAGTGTCTGTGTTTGTTCTTCTAGATTTAAATTTCAATTCGAAATTTAGTCGCAATGGTCTTAGAATTACTCTAGACAATGTTGTTTATGGTTTTGGACATCGTTATGATGGTTTTATTGTGTTAGATTGTAATCCTTCTATGTATAACTATTATGTTGACCATTGTGTTATGGCATGTTATTCTAGTAATAATGATGTTGATGTTATTGCATGGCATACAAGATTAGGTCACATAAGGCAGGATCGAATGAATAGATTGGCTAAGGAAGGACATTTGGGTTCTTTCTCTAAAATTAAAATACCAACTTGTAAAAATTGTCTTCCGGAAAGATTAAACGTAAACCATTTGGAAAGGCTAAGAGAGCTCATTTTCCATTGTAATTAATCCATTCAGATATTTGTGGTCGAATGAATGTAAGGGCTAGGTCTGGTGCTTTATATTTCATTACGTTCATTGACGATTTTACGCGCTTTGGTTATGTCTATTTGATTTCTCATAAATCTGAAGCACTTGAATTTTTTAAGAAATATTTGAATGAAGTTGTTAATCAATTAGACAAAAAGTTTAAGACCTTAAGAATCGATAGAGGGCGTGAATATCTTTCAAAAGAATTTGAAGAATTGTGTAATGAGAAGGGCATCACCAAACAGTTAACTATTCCTTACACACCTCAACAAAATGGTGTAGCAGAAAGGAGGAATTGAACACTACTGGACATGATTAGGTCCATGATGGCGCATGCAAATTTACCTATCTCCTATTGGGGAGATGCGATATTGACTGCAGCCTACATATTGTACAAAGTGCCTTTTAAATCAGTTTCTTCCACTCCTTATGATCTATGGACTGGTCATAAACCAAACTTAAAAGATTTACGACCTTGGGGTCGTACAGTATATGTAAAGGATTCTTTTAGCAAGTTTGGTAAATTAGGTCCGAAAGGTAAGAAATATATCTTTATAAGATATTCAGAACACTCCAAATGGTATGTGTTCATTGGTGAATTAGAGGATGAAAGTTTTACTGAGATTGAATCACGAGATGTCACATTTTTGGAAAATAATTTTCCAAAAAAGAGCGAGGTAAAGAATGGAGAGCCTCTTTATGAAATGTTGTACTCAGATAGTCAGCAAGTATCTTCTAACACAATTGATAATCAAATCGATCAAGATCTTATTCTTGATCCGAGTGGGAGTGGGAGTTCTCATTCCCAAAATCCTTCTGACGAATCCGAATTTCAACTACGAAAGAGCACCAGGAAAAATATACCGAAACGTACTTATTATGAGATTGAAGATTACGTTTTCTTGGTACCTCCAACAGAAATGGATGAGCCAAAGTCTATGACTGAGGCCTTATCGAGTCTTGGAGAAGATGAGTGGATGAAAGTAATGAAAGAATAATTAGAATCCATGAAAACCAACAAAGTATGGGATCTAGTTGACCTTCCGCCTGGGCGTAGAGCCATTGGGAACAGATGGGTTCTCAAAGTTAAACGCAAAGCAGATGGGTTAATAGAAAGATACAAGGCATAATTGGTGGCAAAAGGCTTTACTCAAGAAGCTGGAATAGATTAAGAGAAAATATTTTCACGAGTCATGTGAAATTTACCTCAATTCGCTTACTTTTGGCTATTATTGCACATTTGGATTTGGAATTATATCAAATGGACGTGAAGACAGCTTTTCTCAATGGAGAACTAAATGAAGAAATCTACATGGAACAACCTATAGGCTTCATCGTTAAAGGCCAAGAAAAAAAGGTCTGTAAATTGAAAAGATCTATTTATGGCCTGAAGCAATCTTCAAGGCAATGATATTTGAGATTTCACAAGGAGATGATATTGTATGATTTCACCATGATCAGTGAAGACCATTGCATTTATGTGAAGAAGTCCAATGGGATATTTGTAATTCTTTCTCTTTACGTGGATGATATTTTATGTAATACCCCGGAAAATTTCAAAGTACTTAAGCGCTATTAAGAAAGTTGATGTGCGATAATTATATTATTTTGTGTGCAGACGAGGACTATTAATATGATGGATATCAATTGGATATG